CTGTCTTTGGTCAGGTTTTTCCGAAAGTAGACCTTGAGCCAAGGGTTTGGGTATAAGTGGTTTGTTGAGGTGCAGCCCCTAGAAGAGACCAATACGGGAATAGAAGAAGCAGGCTACGAACAGGGAAGAAGCTATGGAGCTGAGATTTCAGGTGAAGTCCCAGACTCAGCCTGATTGCTTGGGGTGCTTGGCGTTCACCCCCCTGAGACACAGAGCCGGGCTTTTGCACTCCCACACTAGTACATTGTTGGCCACAGGTCACAGCATGGGTGGAAGTGGACATAAAATTCCCAGGCAGTCCCTCTTCTCTTTACTGGTTATGGGGCTGCAGGGCCCAAGGGCAGGCTGCTGACAGTTGCAGGCACAGATAGTGGCACAAACTCTGGGCATGGGGATGGGTGAACAGAGCTGAGGGATTCAAGAGGAACCAATCATGTCTCCAACAGTATCTGTTCCATATGCCTAGAGGCATATGCTCCTGCAGTGTAACGGTGCCAGTGTGAAGCGGAGCATTTGCAGGGTACCCAGAACCCCGGAGTCTATAATAATGGACCAACCCAGGACTGGGGGGGGGGTCATTCTGGAGACAATGCGGAAGTACTCAGGGATGTTAGCTATGCAGAAACCCTGTGGCCCAGTAGTGAGAGATTCTATTCCTTTTTAGCTGTCCCAGAGAAATCACGCAAGTCTCCATGAGACTTGTGCAAAGATGTAATGTAGCCTTGTTTGTAGTAGTTAAAAGGACTGGATACGTTAAATGTAAAACATAGATATAGTCCCATAATCAGGGATTTTTTTCTCCCTTGCATACATGGATCATTCATTAATTCTTGTTTTGTTTGGCAAGGGCTTTAAATATATTATAGACCTATTTTATATAGTATTTTTACAATTTGAAGAGCAAAAATTATGTTTAAAGACAATAATAAAAATTGAGAAATGAACTGAACTAAAAAGGCGAAAAAGCTGCAGAAATAAGAACTAGTGAGATATGTGGATGATATCCTCACCGATGAAGAAAGGAAGTAGTGCAGCTGTTATCCCTTCCTCTTTCTAAGGCCATGTGGGTTTCCCTTTGGGAAAACACCCCTTCACCTGCCTGCCCCACTCCCACTCTAGGAGTTGGCTCTGCTTGACCTAATCTGGTCAGCAGAATTTCTTTGCCCGGAACAAGGTCTAGATTGAGAGTGAGGGACGGTGACCCAGGCCTAATCTCATTTGCTTTCGTAATGTAGAGAAAAGATTGGACCTAGGAGGTCAATGTTTACTATGCACAAATGTATGTCTGAAAAGACTGAAGGGGGGCATATGTTCCCTTCACATGATCATACTGAGATTTTCTCATTTTAGAATACTGAAAAAACAAGAGAATTGAACTGCAGTTAATCCCAATTAGCACACGCTGAGAGAAATAGAGTAGTTCATGGAGAAATGGTTTTATTCTGTATAAACATGAAATAAATGGAGCGAGTCAGGGCGATGCCCCGTCGGTGCCTGGGGCCTGTGATTTGGCTGGTCATGGATTACTACATCGTCAGGGCAGGGTACATGACTGCCTCCCATCTGGGACAAACATATCACCACACTCAAAATACAATTCTACCTACTATCATAGAATCAAATTCAAACAAAAGTCGATCAGCTCCACGTAGATACATTAGATAAGAGGACTGTGGTTTAGTACCAAAAAGGAAAAATTTGTGGAATTCTCTATATTCCTTTAGGAAGATTCCTTGACTCTTCTGCTTAGATCTAGGTTTGGCATTACTGTTCCTAATTTATCATCTCCCAGGAAGAAACACAGAATCTACTGAATAACAGCAATGCTAAAAGCTTGGGAAACCAGGAGACAGTAGGCCTGCTGGCTTCATGAAATCAAAAGTGAACTATGCTAGCAAGCTTCTTGGGGAAAGCCTGGCTTTGCAGTTACACTGTTGTTTTCAGTTCTTAATTATTCCCTGATTCTAAGAACTGTGGCCTGTCTCCTTTCGGTTTTAGGAATAAAAAAAGCCAGCGTATTGGTACTGACCAAATATAGGCACTAGTATGTCTCTGTTACCACTTAGAGGAAACTGTGACAGATCTTCTCCAAATGTAGGATTATTTTAAAAAACTACTGGGGCTTTTACATGTGAAGACCCCACTGGAATTTTAGAAATAATCAACTGAATATGGTGGCTATGTGCCCTGATTTAACTTTGCTTGTTTGAAGTATGGAGGAAAAAATCCATAAATACAGCGAGCGCTATATTAGATTATGTTACAAATAAGGGAACTGAAGACTCAGAATTCCAGGCCTGGAGAGGGTTGGAAAGATGGGCAATGCATTTTCTTTACTCTACGCACATAGAGTGTTTAATACTCTATCATGGACGAGTGACATAATTAAAAATAACAATGGAGGTAACAGATTAGTGAAAGATTTGCATTTGCCTTGGTTATTTCCTGGGCTGAATCTCCAATTTGTTTCATTCCCTTAAAATGTACTCGATAGGTTTATTTTTGGATGAAGAATCAATGTATTTACTGACTTAAAAAGCTCATGCTGTCGGGACAGTGCTATGTGGCTTGTTATTACGCCATTCTCCTAGGAGTGACACATGTATGCTCACGATAGTAAGAGCTGTAGAAGCAGGAACCCTCACACTATGTTTACTGAGGTCGCCAGCTGAAGTTGGAAGAATTTCGACTATTCTTGCCTTTACCGTCCCCTATGCCGAGGTCTACTGAGTCACCACTAAGCGCTTCCAGCATTTATTTAGTTATGCACCTGGTTTGGCGTTCCCAGCAGCCAAAACAATTTAATATGGTGGGTGTTCACTGTATCTGTGTTGAGTGAAAAGATATATCAAGAGGGAGAGGGAGGAAGGGAAGAAATGATGGAGCACAAGGGATTCGGGGGGCAGTGACACTATTCTAAATGATACGTAATGGTGGATAAATGTTACTCCATGTTTGTCGAAACCCATAGAATGTACAACACAAAGGGTGAATTCTAATGTAAATTATGGACTGTAGTTACTAATATTGTATCAATATTGGTCCATCAAATATACGACCCTAATGCAGGAGGTGAATTATAGTGGTAACCGTGTGCAGGGAAGGGGAAAAAAAAGAGCATGTGTGAACTCTCTGTACTTTCCAATCAATTTTTCTGTACGCCTAAAACTTCTCTAAGAAACATAGAGCCTATTCATGTAAACAACAACAATAACAAAAGATAAATAACTTAGATGAAATGGCCTTAGCATGTGCGTATTGTAAGCAACAGAAAACCAAATTTAATTAGTAGCGGGATAGACGCGAAGGTAAATGTGTTGGTTTGCTTACTCAAGCCATGAGAAACCATCAGGGAGAACTGGAGCCAGGGACTTGAATGCTCCTTTTCACCTTTGTAACGATCTAGATTGACCTGCTTCATAGTGCCTGAACCATGCTGGCCTGTAGGCTTTAGGCTTACAACCTCCCAGGCTGGTCACAGTGGGGAAGAGCTCTTTCTTACTTTTGTTGTTATTGGAAAAATCCCAGGGAATGTCTGTCAGCCTCGCTTGGAAACGTGAACACCTTTAGGCCGTTTACAGGGTTTGAGACACAGGCCTCAATTATAGTATGGTGTTTACAAGGCTGGAAACAAGTAGGCATGAGCTAATAATTGCAGTTATCCCGACAAGAGATGTTGGTGGCTCAGGAAAGGATGGTAGAGGTAGAGAGAGAGAAATGGTTAGTTAGGTCCTGGTATATTCTGCAGCTAGGGCTGTCAGCATTTACTGAGGCATTAAGAATAAAGTGTAAGAGAATGGAGTGGAAAAGGACTTCAAGGGTTTTATCCTGATAGCTCAAAGGATGGAGCTGTCTTGAACTGAGTGGTGATGGTTAATTTTAAGTGTCAACTTGAGCAGGCTAAGGAATGTTCAGTGAGCTGGTAAGACATTAGTCCTGGGTATGTCTGAGGGTGTTTCCTAACGAGATTAGCATTTGAATGAGGAGAATGAGTAAAGCAGATCAGCTCTCACCAATGTGGGCTAGCACCATCCATCCATAGAGGGCCTAAAAAGAAAACAAGGCCAGGGAAGGGTGAGTTCTCTCTATTTCTTCTTCAGCAGGGACATCCAGTTTTTCCTGCTTGTGGACATTCGCGCTCCTGGTGCCTTAAGAGCCTGGGACTTATGCCAGCAAGAACAGCTTCACAGTTCTAAGGCTTTAGGCCTCAGACAGGGAGTCACACTACTGGCTACCCTAGTTTTCAGGCCTTTGGACTGGGACTGAATTATAACACTGGTTTTCCATGTCCTCCATCTTGCAAACAGCAGATCATAGCATATCTCAGCCTCCATAATCACTAATTCCCATAACAAATCTTCTCTTATACACACACACACATGCACACACTTACATGTATACACATATACATGTATATACGCGTATGCATATATGCATATATATACATGTATGTACACACACACACACATCCTATTGACTCTGTTTCTCTGGAGAACCCTGACTAATACATGAGCAGAGGGATAATATGATGGCTTAGGTTAGAGGGATATCAGGAGCTTAGTTGTAGATATAATAGGTCTGTTAGCCATCCAATTGGAGATGTCAAATAAGCAGTTGGATATATGTGAGTCTCTTCCTCCAGGTATCCACCTGACATATTTTTTATGAACTGTAATTGCTTCTTTTCCAACTCTTTCCTCTACAAGCTCCATTAGAACAGTAACTTCACCTGTTTTGTCCACTGCTTTATCCCCAGTACCTAGAAAAGTTCCTGGGGTATAGTAGATGCTCAGCAAAATTTACTGGAAAGGTGAATGAAGGAATGAATGAGAGAGCTACTTGTTTAGCACAACCATGTAGGTTGAGAATACAGCACAGTTAGGAAGTATCTGTTTGAAAGTAAAGTTGCTGGCTCGGCTATACTAGGGAGAGATTTGTGACAGGCCTTGTGTAACAACCATTTTCTCTGAAGAACTCCGTAAAAAATGAAGACACACTTGTAAGGCTTCTGTAAACTTTTATTGTATACTTACAGGCCAAAGCCAATGGGGTGCCTTGGCCTCTGGCTCATTTCTACAGATTTCCTTGGAAAGATGTGATAAAAGTAGAAATCGGAAATCTTCCTACTAGTAAACCACAGTTACTTACCGGTGCATAAACAAAATGTACATTGAAGCCTTTGTGGTTATTCAGAAATCTATGACTTTCTGAACTTTAAAAATGCATTCTTCATATGCAATTGACAAAGCATCTTAAAAAAAGGCAATTGTCTAAACAAAATGATGTGAACCTATGGCTTATATTCTAGGTAGATATCATTGCATGTGACGTACCAATGGAATAATGGATTTTCACTGCTAATACATAAAGGAGCCCTGCAGTTGGATCAACTGAAACCTGATAGGATCTGTTCATGACTGTGCTAAAATATAGCCCAACAAATCATTAGCTACCTTAACATCAGTAATCTGTCTGGTGAAGTCTGATAGAAACATCAGACTACTTGTCAATCTCATCACCACATTCAGTTGAGGATTGGAACAATATAATACTTCAAAGTCTAATGACTATTGCTCCAGCACAGGAAAAAAATACAACCCCAAATACTGCTTTATCAAACCAATCAATCAATCAACCAACCAACCAACCAACCAACCAACCAACCAACAAAACAAAACCCCGATGTTAACCCATGGGCCATATCATGCTACCTCTTCTTTCCATTTGTAATGGTGACATGGTCATAAGACTTATGAACACAGAGAGGTTAGAACTGACTGAGGCCTGTTGTCATGATGGACAACCACCTAGATTCCACTCAGTGTGTGTGCTTTGGCACACCTATAGGGCATTAATATTAGATTACATGTCCATATATACCATCACATACATGCATATATCATACACACAGATACATCCCATAGAGACAATCACAGAAAAATTGGCTAAAAGAAATGTACAGTTGTTTATATATATTTATATATACACAGTAAAAGATTTTCTGCTATACTCACAGTCTGTAAACTTGGAAATGCCCAGCCAAAGTCATTGTGGGCCCTTTAAAATGCTGACCATGTAAGTAGTGGGGGTGGGGGAGGTGTTTAAGTTCATACTGGATACTGGGAGAAGTGAAAAACTACAGTTCATGGTGGCACTTGGGGGTAATTATATTTCACTGACACCATAAACTTAGCTGGCCACTTGGAAATTATGTTTCCTGTATGGAAAAAGGAATGACCAAAGAAAAATCTTACTGCCAATTAACAATTTAAAATAAATCAAGAGAATATGAGGTGCTATTTATAATGTATATATATCCATATATATCCATAATGTATAATGTACAGATCTGAATATATGTATATATATGCATATATATACATGTACATGCTACTATTACTAAAAAAACTCAATGAAAATTTCCAAGTCTTCTAAAAATATTTAATCCTTTCTTCCTAGGTGTGCTTTAGACTTCTATGCATTGCACTAAAAGTCTTAGGTATAGTTTAATGACATGTACATTTAAATTTTTGTATTTGATGTTGATTTTAATAAGAGACATATAAAAAAAGATTGGGCTCATGAAAAATAGAAATATTTGATTCAAGCATTATTTTTAAATTTAACATAAATTATGTGCAAGAGCTCCTGTAATGAAACACCATGAAAAACATAGATTCTTAAAAAATTTTTTGAATAGCAGCTATTAAACTGCATATGTGATTATCTGTGTTGTAAGTACCTGTGTTTGTTGTAGCTTGAGCATGTTTTAAAAATAAAACAGTAACATGAGAAACATTAACCTAATTGTTCATCTGAATTCTGTATTTCTTCTTCTTCTTCTTCTTCTTCTTCTTTGCAAAATATGTATAAATAAGCTCAAATAATCATTTTAGGTTACTATGCAGTTAAAAAAATATTGGCACTGAATGACATGTCAAATAAAGGTGACTTAACCCCACACTGTGTTTGGCAAAAAAAAAAAAAAAAATCCCTTAAAAAAATAGAAAACCTTTTCATAATCTCTAAACTTTCACGGTGACCAGTTCTCATGGAACATTTGACAGAACTGCCATGAACGTTAGCCACGTACTTGAAAAGTATTTTCATGTACAAGTAGTAAATATCCTTCTGGTTTCATTTAACTGTCTCCTTGGCCCCTGCCAACACTCACCATTTTTTAGTGCTGACTGTAACATATAGAATATGTAAGTTAGATAAATTAAAGAAGTAAGATTCATTGGATTTGTGGGTATAAACCAGCTCACTCTGACGTTTTGGAAAGTATTGTATGAGGGAGGGACTGAGCCGTGGGAGAACAGACATCTCGAGACCGAGTTGCTGTGTAATTCTTTCTCCAGTAAGAGTTGAAGGAATATTGATGAATGTTTCTTCAGGTGTTTAGTTTATACTGTCTTTGTGGCTGCTCCTCTCTGTGTTGTGGTTGTTTTGTTCGTGGTTCTTCCATTGGATGCTTGTTCCGTTCATGGGGACAGAGGTCATCTGGCTTTTGGACTGGTAACAGCAACAGCAGAGGCAAGACTGAGAGAAAGAACAGATGCTAAATGACAGGAACCCATCAGCCTGTCCCCAGCAGATCATAGAAGCCTTGGGCCCCCGCCACCAAGGAGTCAATGACCACATGCATTTGAGGCAGAACGCGAGCCTAACTAGTAACCTCTAGGTAGAAGGTAAGCTGTCCATTCTAGTGAAGAGAAAGAGAGCCTTTGTTTCTTGTTTTAATTCTATTCACCAACATAAAGAGGAAGGGGAGCAGTTTTGGCCAGAGAGAGAGAGAGAGAGTGCTCCATGACTTGGGGTGGGCCTGAGTGGGGAAGGGCTAAGCCCTGGCACGTTCAGTGTGCGTGCACCACCTGTGGAACTACAAAGGTCCATCTATTTATATGATTTTGTATTAGTAAATGTCTGTCTCCTTTTAGATTGTAAGTTCCATGAGGGCAGTTGCTGCGTTCTTCCTCTCCACTCTATCTTGAATAACAATCTCATACTGAGCAATTATTGTTTCAAGACTTACCGTAATTTAACCCATTGAATCCCACTTATGAGATCGATATTGAGATCATCTGATTTCACAGAGGAGTAAACTGAGGAAGCAGGAGGGGCCCCATCTGGACCTGGGCTTGTCAATTAATAAGTGCAGAGCTGTGAGGTAAATCCAGATTGTTTGCTTCCGGAGCCTGCTCCCTTGACCCCTGTGCTACTCTTCCGAATAAGTACCATAAACTAAAGTTAAACATCCTGGATGGAGATAACAGAATCCAGTTAGGATGAGCTCTATGCTAAAATCATCCCAGGAGCTGGAAAAATGACACATCAGTAAGTGCTTGAAACTTCTGGAGGACATGGGCTGGCTTAGCTACAAGGAGTTTTGAGGAAGAGAAGGAAATGAATTTCGAATGTAATGACATTAGTTCGGATTTCCGGGACAATAAGCATTTACATTCCTTGAAAAGGCTATTACAAAATATACTATTACATAGCATTTAGCAGGAGCTTTCTCAACAATAGAGTTTATGTTTTATTGAGACTTTAAAGTCTAAGATGACGTCAGGCATGAATAGGTTTTATGCATTCTATGTGGCCTGAAGCACACGTTGGAGCATTTCATTTTAAAGGAAGGTACGAAATTGGCATGTTATTAAGTTATTTTTAATTTTAACCTCTGACTATCTTGTTGTCTGAATAGATACTACTTTTCTGTCATGCTTAAAATCTGAGCCTCTTTCTGAGTAACAAAATAGGATTTTCACTTCTCTGCTGACAAGTACAGCTGATGAAAGTAATATTTACAAATGGAATTAGCCATGCCTGTTGGCTAATTCATATACTTATTTGGTTGTTCTTAAGAATACTTGCAAAACAGTCTTACCTGGAAACAATTTTTAAATTTCTTGCTCACAAAATATAGAGCTATGGGGTTTATACATGAATTCATAGTTGCCAAGTTCATCCCGATGTAATCCATGAGTAACAAGAAACTAGAGCAAAAGAAAATGGAATAGAGTAATTAGAACATAATGTTTTTAAATCTGAAAACTAGCATTTATTTCTAGAATAAGCATTTTTCTTGCCCAGAAGCCATTTCTTATAGGTGGCAGTCAGAATTTTTTTCAAGTGCTTGTTTAAAATGGCAGTTCTATTTCTGCAGAACATTTACCCACCACTTGGTTAGCTCAAACCATTATGCACAGCCTCAGGAGGGGATCGGCACAATTACAGATATGGCTTGCACAAATTTGGGGATCAGTTATGGGCTATGTCAGCTAAAGAAAAAATAATCAACTTTGCCGTTTTAATTTTCAGAACTAACGAGAATGCAGACTAGATGGTTTTGTAAAAGTATTATTATAAATGTGAAAATCAGAGACACTCCAGCTTCCTAATGGGCATATAGGATCATACCTAAGTAATTCACATCGGTTCTTGTCCATCTCATCATACACGGTTTTCTTCAAAATACGGCTTAAATGAAGAGGGAACCAGCAAAGAGCAAAAATTACAACCAAGCAGAAAACTGTTTTTGCCACTTCTCGACGCTAAAGAAAAGTAAGAAGAAAAAAAAAAGTGCAGTAAGTTCAGTGTTTTTCTACTAGATGAAAGAAGTACAAAACAAGGAAGTAGTAGAGAGCAGAGAAAGAATAGCTCAAAGAGGAGACGGAACAGCCTGCCTCACCGTGCCTCCATCTCTTCGAGTTTGAGTCTAACTTTATGATCAAGGAGTTGCTAATGATTCTTTTGGGCAGCTGCCAGGAAGGACAGTGACTGCAGGCTGGTTATTAGGGCCAGGGCAGAGGTTCTATGACAGAGCAGAGGTGTGAGCTAGCTAGAGCGGAGCCAACACTGTGGCTGAGTCTGTGTGTGTGTGTGTGTGTGTGTGTGTGTGTGTGTGTGTGTGTGTGTGTGTCCAGGTGGGGGGTGAATATATGGGGGAAAGCGTTAGCTAAAAACCTCAATAACAGATAACTAACTGGCATTAATGACAGCATGGCAGTCAAGTGGACTGAACCCACCATGATAAAGAATGCACAAATCTGCAGGGACATTTGGAAAACAAAATAGACATAGGAAACAGAAAAGAAAAAGCTGTCTCCATTTGTCGATCTTGAAGAAAGCTAGCATTGGGATATGTTTTGCTTTTAAAGTTTTTTTACTAATGACATCTAGTTAGTTCCCAAGGATATATTGTTTACAAACAGAGGGATGAGGATAAAGGAATATCAGCAATGATGTTTAGAAAAACTGGGACATGCTGACCCTGGACTGATTTCAGTTGAAGGTTTCCATACTTTCAGGTCTGCATAGGATCAGAGAAACCATAGGTTAGGGATTATCTGGAACCAGTCATTTGTGTGCATGATGCTTGAGTATTATAGTGCATGCATTTAGAAGCCTAACTAGGAACATAAAATGCAATTTGTCTGTAACTGGGATCTGGTAATGTCAAAATAAAACTGATTGAAAACAGGGTTTGGAAGGGTAATGTTAGTTCAACCCAAAGCATATACCATTAAGTATGGGAAACCTATAATGAACCCATATGATTAATAGACTCGTTTAAAAAGATTTCGGGGCAGTTGTCACAAATTGCTATCCTTGCTCAAAGAACCGGGGATTCTTTAATCTTTCGGGGTTACTGGACCTAGCTGGGATATGGCTTCAGAGACCACATAAACCAAGCGATGATTAAGAGAAATAAAGGGTTCCAATCTGCAGGAATGGGGGACCATTTTAAATGGGTCATTTTTTGTACACAGAAAGACACTGTGCTCAGAAAAATAAAAATGGAGGGTGTTGTGGGAGAGGTCTCCTCCCCTGAGCATATCCTCAGAGGATAACCCTTTTAAAAGGTAGTATCAATAACTTACCATGATAGTCTGCTATTTGCTTACACAATGTCCATTCTCCTGTTTTCCTCACTATCAGTCAGATCCTTGATTTTGTTATAGCAGCGTGGGAGCCTGGCCTAATCATCTGCATGGTTACCTAACATAGTTGTGACGTAGAAATTGTTGTGTGGGGTTTCTGTAAAGCTGCTTAAAAGTGGGGGTACTCCTTTGGTGCACACACACACTCATGTGATATATGTTTTTCCCCTTCTTGCTGCCTGGAAACCAGTTACAAAGGTAGAGCTATAGCTGCTGTCTGCCAAGACCTAAGGAAAGGTCAGCACAACAGCAAACCCCCTGCCAAGAGTTCCTTTGCTCCCGAACCAATGACATCTGAACTTTTTGCTGTGGGAGAAAGATAAACCCTTTCTTGGTCTACTCAATATTATTTTGGTGTTTTTGCTACCAGAATCCAAACACAATCCCTAACTGATAGAGTTGTTGTCAGTATAATGAAGACAAATTTGAGAAACCATTCAAGAAGTAAGACCAAGAGCCCAAAAGGACACTAGTCAAGGATGGCAGGGCCCTTCACTGTGGGTTAGCTCTCCCGCACTCGAAGGCCTTCCAGCATGCTTGCCCTTCTGCCTTAGAACCTGCTATAGCTTTGAGGGTGACGCAAGGGAATGTCTGCTGCGTGAAGGCCAAATCTTGCATTCTAATCTCCATTGGGTTGAGTCAATCTCTTAATCACCTGTGTAATAAGAGTAATATCTGTCCTGCCTCTCTCACAGCATGCTTGGAGGAATCAAATAAGAAAATGACATAGAACTGCTCTTCAAAAACTTTAAAAAATGCTATGTAAATGTGAAGCAGAATCCCAGCCCCTATTTCATTATTTTCAGAGGAGATACCATTTACAACTTAAAACAGGCTCAATCATAGTGCTGATGCAAAAATCAACATTTAAAACACTGTTTTTCAAAAATCTATTTTAATTAATTACCTCCATTGCAGGAATGAGAGGTAATAATTGCTTAATATGATTCATATGTGGAGTATTTGACATGTTCATGCTTGAACAAAGTCATACTGAAGTTTCTCAATATAATGTTCCTGTTAAATTTCAATAGAAGATTATAGCTAGCATTTGTGTGGCATGTTAGGTTTTACAAATATGTGCATGCACATTAATTTCTTAGATTCCCACAATAACATTCATTTATATGTTATTATGCCCAATTTACAGATAAGGAGCTAAAGCTCAGAAAAATCAGCACAGTTGTTGAAAAGAGTTGCTGATGAAGAATGATGCTTGTCTATGATAGTCATAGGGTAGATTTACAGGCTCCACCAACAAAAACCATTAACTTTTGGTGTATCTGGGTGTCCTTATATATTTAATACTTCTCTGTTGAGACTTACAACTTACTTACAGTCCTAGTTTTATTCTTTGAATTAATATCTATCAACATTTTCTGAGCTCTTACTATGAGTTGGATTCTATTAGACACCTTACGTGCATTAGGTAATCCCCTGGATGTATTGTTATATACAATTTATGAGGAACTAGAAGCTCAGAGAGAGTAAGCAATTTGCCCAATGTCACAGAGCCAGCAGGTATAAGACTCGAGTTTGGCCCTCTGAAGCCCAGTTTTCTCTGTTCTGTTTGCTGCCCAGAAGAGACCAACAGCAGCCTCCTGTTGACTAGTTCAAATTCCTTCTAGAACTTTGGGCCCCTCAAAATTTGAGCTCTTATGTACCCAGTCCCATTTCCAGTCAAGAGTCTTACCTTTGATGTTGCTGATGTTCTAATGAGGCTCATCTCCTTTCCCACTCCCCAAATGTGTAGTGCCCATGCCTTGTTCTAACTAGATCCCTGTTCCCCCTGAAATGCCCTCTGTCCTCTTTTCCATCAAAACCATTTGTCCTCCATGAACAGCTCAATCCCCTTATTTTTCCCATGACTTTAGCTTGTATCCTCCTTGGCTTTCTGTAGCTTAGGCTACTTTGGCCACATCCTGTGATTCCGTTTCCCAACAGTTTCATGTTTCCACAACAAGACCGCCCGACCTGTTAGGGGAGAAAGTCATACGCTTCTTTCTGTCCCAGACAGCTCTAAGCCAAACAACATACACACACACAGACACACATCGTCAATACACTGTTGGCAAAATAAATGAATAGTTCCTCTCCTTTTGGACCCTGCCTCCAGGGCCACCTGTTTCACAGGTAGGCTCCCAATTTCACAAAAGAAACTCCTAAAACTAGAACTATAAAGGAAACAAGACATACAGACAAATGAGACAATATTTTTCCTTCAAGGAAATCAGGTCGAATCTCTAAATACAGCATTTGTGTAGTTCTTTTGTTGTCAAGGACAAAACACGGTCTTGGCCAGATTTTCATGATCACCTGTTTAAGATGTTCACTGAGGGCGATTCGCAAGCTGCCATTCCTTCTGTTTAACATCTCACAAGTCATGAGGGTGTAGAAGATGGCGGTACACACCAAGGGCATGCAGAAATAGAACCCGAAGAGCCACCAGTCCTTTACATCCTGATAGAACTGTAAATTGAAAAGAAGGGAGAAAAAGTGGGGGGCATTATAATGTCAACTAACTGTGCAGTGCCTCCGGGGCTTCAGGCCCTTCATGCTTGTAGATATGTTTGTATAGTCACGCTCTCTGGTGGAGGCTCAAAACAACTAAATTGGAATCTCTAGAAATTATCCTGGCTTTACAATAGCACATAAAAAAAAATCAAACTAGTTGTACATTTAAAAAAATTATCCCGACAAAGATATTTTTTAATACACTGAAGTTGGTTTTAATTATACAATGGAAGAGCCCAAAACAATAAAAATAATTCCCTTCCAACACTTTAACAAAACGTGATTCTGAGACATACACACTGTATTGTTTATTTATTAATGAGCTTCAAAATTTTGCTAGTGCCTGGTTTACTTTTGACTATTACGGTCAAAGTGGACTTCGTGTGAATATCTTGTTTGGAAACAGGAAAGGTTATGTATGAATGGCTTATCTGTGTAGCTTTGGTTACCAGGAGTTAACCCTTTGCCTGGTATGCTTGCTATGTGACCTCGCAGCCAGCCAGTTTCAGCCATCAATAACCGTGCCCCTTCTCACTCTCTTTTAATACTTACCACCTGGAAACTTTCCAGACAGAGTACCTTATCTGAAGGCACATTTAGCATTATCTCCCAAGGGGCAGGATTTGCAAATACCAGGATTATTCAGTTTTATGTCTTTTTAAAGGAGAAAATTTAATACCCTATAAAAATGGCAATTGGAAAATGATATCCAAATTCTTCCTCCCACTAAATTAATCACCAACTTGGGGAAGAAATGTTTTTCTTTTCCTTATTCTGTTTCTCCAGACTGTTTATTTACTGAGGATAATGCAGCCTCCTGTGATATCTCCGTTCCCACAGTAAAAACTAATCATGCTGCTCTGTGAAAAACTGGATGGTTTCTGAATATAGAAAGAGGCCCAGTGGGCTACATTTATAGCATGTCTATTAAAATAATCTATAAATGGTTCCTGAGGAAAAAAAAGTCCTGAGCAAAGGTTCTTAACTATTTTTATGCGGTAGACCCCTTCGGAAGTCTGGAGACGAATATAATCCTTTCTGAGGATAATACTTTTACATGTATACTAAAATATGTAAGATTACGATAGAAACCATTTACACAGAAACAGAATCAAAACATTAAAACTAAAATTCTAATACAGTACTATAGATGCTTATGAACAAATCAAATGACAAATCTAATGCTAGTTCTAATACCTATCAGAAGTTGAAGCAATGATGAGCATAAATGATATTTCAAGATTATACAACTGTTATTTGGTATGAAAATGTCTGTTATTTCTATGAGCGAAAAAAATCATGGTACTGTTAAACACTATTGTGGTTTGTTGCCTACATTCATTATAGAAGGAAATGATAAATTGCAGTTAGAAGTTAGAGAAAAAATACACATGTAATTTCTTTTCCATTCAAGTTCACTGAACTCTGAATTTTATCTTCAGGTTAAGTACAAACTCCCAAAGGAATTGGTTTAATCAGATCTGTTTATACAGGTATTTCCCTATTCACATCACACTGTAGAAAGATTTCAGGACTGAACTTAAAAAACAGACAACAACAACAAAACTGAAGGCCTCTCTTTTCGTTTAGGTGCAGCACAAACACTCCTTTGAGCCCCTCTTCAGTTTGTACCCCCTCTTCCAGGTGCATGCCGGCTGGCGTGAACGCCCCAGAAGCAGCTGCAGAGGGTCTGGAAGCTGACCCCTGAGGGGTGTGGGTGGGGTCCCCTGACCCCTCCACGTCAGAGGCCTGTAGAGAAAGGGGTCACACAGTTCTTTTGAACGATGTCATCAGCAAAGGTATGGAGGGGCCTCCATCCAGTCTACATTAGTGTAAAGTTGAGGAGGCAAGAATGGAACAAAGAGGGACGATAAAATTAGAAAAAAAAAAAAAAAAGAAAAAGAAAAAGAGGATGGACAGGAGAAGACAGAGAATCCTAAATATTAAAAAAAAAATGATGAGTTCAAACTCCTACTCTTCCCTGCACCCCTCTAGGCTCCCCCTGCCTGAAGGGCAGTCACCCTTTTCTTGACCCCTCTATAAAGGAGATTCAGCCATTGTGAAATATCCCATGTCCAGTTCTCATGACTACAAAGCTCCTTCTATTGAGCCTCTTCTCTCTCCTGTTTTGTCAGAAATATTTCTTTTTTTTTTCATTTTCTAGTCAGAAATATTTTGATTGCTAATTTACACAGCCCAAATTCTGATAACCTCTTGTTGACTAGTTTGTTTTTCACCATGGCAATTTGACTTCATAAAAAAGTCAGCAGATAAGCCGAAGACCTTAATTTTAAGGTTGCCAGTTTGGCAGCTTTCATGAGTAATTTTAATTTTAAAACAAGAAATCGAAGCAGGATAACTGGTCAAGTGTAAAACCACTCATTCTATGAATTTTCTAAGTTAGGAAAACATACCTTGAGATGTCTGTAAGTCATTAAATGTGGAATCTGAGCTGCATGAAACTTAGATCAAAGCACTAAATTATGCTGATTTAAGAGAAATAGTTATCCTTTTGGCTTTTCCCTCAGTCCACATTTGACTAGTTTTGCCAAGAAAATATGCATTTTAAACATGCCTCCCAATACACTCAGTCATGTGATTAAGCTTTTCGGAGAAGCGTTAATGTGGTCAGGTATATTAAATAACAACAACTGAATTTGGTCAGCTGAACACTTTTTTAAAAAGTTCTGCAACTTATTAGACATAGGATCTGTACTAATATAAGTACATGTAAATACGACTTCCTACATTGAGTTAGTAAATCTATCTTCAAAAGCTGTGTGAGCAACATAGATTTCCCCAAGTAATGTAAAATAAGTATCAGCATGTCTGTCACATGGAAATCGTTGTGCTGTATTCCTTATTATAAAAACAAATAGTACTTTGTACATACACCTCTATCTCTTTTTCTTAGTGAATTTATTTCAGAATTCGGAGTTGTTTGGTGTGGAACAGCAGTTTTCTCTAAAGTCATGCTATACTACAAGAGTAAAAACACAAGAGTTCTATTTAAGAAGCTAAACCCTGGTGTACCATCTTTTTTTCATACAACTGAAGAACATTTGACTAAACCAGCAGAGTTAAACCACACTGGGCACTGTAGAGGTATCAACAAGTCTTGATGAATTCTCTGGAAATGATTCATACCTCCATGAACTTGGACGTGGCGTTGAGCATACAGGTTTTGTACTGTTCACCCTTGTATTCAAATGGCACCATGACAAAGCCAATTGCTTCAGGGATGGCCAGGATGAAAGACAGGATCCAGATGGAGACAATCTCGATGGCGGTGATCAAGGGAATCCCGATTCCCTGAACACGACTCCAGGAGGCGACCGCTCTGTACCTGAAAAAACAAACAAACGAACAACAACAACAAAAAACAGTGGGGCAATGGAACTCAGTTGTTAGGACATTTTAAATCACTTCAATTTAAAAATGTATAAATGCTGCAAAGCTCCTCCCTTCGGCTTTTTAGGAACTTTCTGTGAGTCCTCGTGTGAAAAACAAGTAGGGCCATTAGGAGTCCCACCCATCTGGAAATCAGTGGCCTGGCGGGTCTGAGTCTGAGCTCTTCATTTGGGGTCCAGCAAAATCTTGTGAGAGTTTAGAATGTGGCAGCATCAGAGAGATGTGTCTATGGTTTTTAAGCTGGGGAAAAATTGGATGATGGAAGGTGTAGTGAAAGCTGTTGATACCTATTATGGTAATATCTAATTCCTCTTTATATAGTAATAAAACTTGAAATTTATCTATGAAGTGGATCTAGATATCCTTAAATGAATAGTGATCATAGATATTCCATCATTTTCTCTCTTCTTCTACCCTCAAAACATGATCACAGTGGGCTTGTACCCAGTGGCAGTTCAGTAAAATAGATAGTATTTCTGCTAAATGTCAGTGAATGACTCTCTCTCCCATTATGGTTCTGTGCTAGAGTATATCAAAATGAGTTAAAGATACCTTGATTTCTAATCTTTAGGGTTTATAGTATAATAGGAAAGAATGGTTCATACAGAAGTATAGAATATAAATGTTACTGAACATTTATATCAATTAAACAATTAGCATTGAGAAATTGTGTTTATCTTAGTTTTTACTTTAATATTTTTGTGAAAATAATCACATTTAAATGTTTAGTCTAAAGAAAGTTTGGTTTCAGAAACTCTGTACTCTTTCACCCGATGTGATGGTCTGGTGCTAACTACTTTTAGACTTACTGTTAAGAAGGGACCTGGGATGTAGTATGGTATTTTTGTGGCTTCATTCTTGAAATTTTTGTTGCTGTTGTAATGGAAAGGAAACATTCTCTTTTTATAACTTCATTTGATAGTGCCAGAAGAAGGCTGTAAAATAGACCAAGGCACTGGAGACAGGTGCACATGGGCTCATAGAACGTGTGAGTTAATGTGGAAGGTTATTCAGTAAAGCTAAAGCAAGCCGTATCCACCAAGATGAGCCCCCATCACTTATATTTAGTGTTCTGTCTCAGTACATCTTCAAGGTACATCTGTGAAAGCAGAACCTCCGGGAGTTATGCTCCCTTGTTCTTCACTGTGGATTAGAACCTATAGTTCTGGTATGCACGATGAAGCCACATGGCATAGATACAGGACAATTTGCTGGAGAAATGTTTTGCAAAAGATTTTTAGGGTAAATAAGATTGGTGTACAATAAGACTCTCTCAAAGAGTCCAGATTACTTCAGAATGGAATAAAACACAGCTATGCAAACAGAAAATCCTTTTACGATATGGCCAAGATTGCATTTTTAAATTTATGGTTATTTCCAGTGGGATAAAGACGGCTATTTATTTTGATTTCCATTTCTGTTTACTTTTCTTTGTTGCCTTATTAGACTGGCAGCCTAATAAATGTTCAGTAAAAGCTAAAAGGAATGGAGACTCGATGTCTATATCCCGAGGCTGTCAGTGAGTTATATCTATTTCTTCTCCTCTCCTCTTAGATCAGTTATCAGGGTAGGTGATTTAAATAAAACCACTTCATCTCCTAAGGGAGTGAGAATTCTGGATTGCTTAGGCGGGGTTGGGGGTAGAAAGTGGTTTAAGAAAGAAAATGTGGTAAACATGTTCTGATGATGAATATATTCATAGTCCGGGTTCAATATATAATGTGCCATCAGTTCCCAGAATATTATGTCTATAATCCAACGTAAATTCAACATTTAAAAATAAATAGAAGTATTTTTAGAGTCTAGTGTAGCAAATGATTCATAAGCAGTCTGCTCCTTATTAACCCACATAACTGAGAATTAGAATATTTCCTTTTGTAAGCATACTGATCTTGATAAAATCTCCATGAGATTACAACCATAAGAGCATTTAGAAGCAATCATTTGTGATGAAGGTGGCGAAAGGTGTGGAAAATAATAAGTACTGGAAGTTCCAAAAACGATTTTTATGGAATATAACCGCACAACACACATATACACAAATATGTTCTCCTTACTAGGTGTGATTATAAATAGCCTTCAGTCTAGTCTGTGTGTGTGTGTGTGTGTGTGTGTGTGTGTGTGTGTATTTATGTATGAAATCTGCACTTGCCATAGAAAATCCAGAAGTGTATATCTAGCCACCCACAACTGATATTCCAGAAATAACCCCTCCTCATTGAAAGGCTTTCTTCACTTGGCTTCCTCTTCAGTCTCTTGGATTTCCTCCTGCTTTGCTGGACACTCCTTCTCATTTCCTTGCCTAGATTCTGCCTGCTTCTCTCAGTGATCCTATCCAGTCTCATGGATTTAGCATCATTTAAACTATCTATATACTGATAATTAATTCTCAAATTCATCACTCGTAGCCTAGAACCTCACCTCTAACTCTAGACTTGTATACCCAACTGCCAAATTGAGATCTCTACTCGGGTATCTAATATGCACTGAAACTCATCCAAGCCACACTCCTGGTCTTCTTCCTTGCTCCCAAACCTGCCCTCTCTTCAGCCTTTCCCATCTCAGGCCAAAACTCTGCAATTAGCTTTCATTCCTCTTTTTCTCTCCCACCACACAGCCAAGTCAACCCTGTCACCTCTTCTTCCTTCATGATAGACGCAAATGCAACCACTTGTCACCATCTCCCCTGTTATCATCCTGCCTGGATTATTGCAATAGCGTCCTCACTGGTCTCCCTACATCCACTTTGCCCCACTGCAATCTTCCCTGAACACAGAAACCAGAGTGAGAACATAAATCAGTCATGTCACCCCTCTGCTCAAATCCCCCAGTGGTTTCCCACCCTGATGGAAATGCCCACCGGTATCCTCAGAGCTGTTTCTTCACTTCTTTACTCGACTGTGTCTGTTCGCAGAGGCCTTCCCCGAACACCCGATTTAAAACTGTCAGCTTCCACTCCAAATTTAACCTGCTCACCCTGATTTATTTTTTCTCTGTAACATTTACTACCATATGACCAATCAAGTATTTTATTTATGTCTTTTGTTTATTGTCTATGTCCACTCCTCCCTTTAGAATATAGGCTCCATAGGGCAGACATGTTGTATGTTGGTCACAGTCCTTTGACCAATAGGTGCCAAATAAACATCTGTTGAAGTTAAGCATCTTTGTTTCCTTACCATGCATTTGCCTGTGTTGGCCAAAGTCAATAGCACACAATATTCTGAACGTTTTCTTATTTTTCAAGCCAGCCATGAATTAGACAACAGATAAAGAGCTAATACTTTTAGAACTGTGGAATCAAATAACTTAAACACTAGGAGGGACCTTTGGGCTGATCTTCCTCCCCTTTGCATTCCTGTTGGAAGTCTGAGGACTGGTGTGTTGCCACATCCTCTGCCTGGTCCCCATTGAATGTGGGGAGCCTGGAGCAGGCCTCTGGCCTGCCAACTCCCAGGGGAGGCTTTTCCCATGACATCACCGTATTTATACAAAATAAAGGTATAAATTACATGTTATATTTATGTAAAGATGTTTGTTACTGTCTATGTCTATAAGTAGATTTTTACATGTTTTCAAGGCCAGAGGCATTTAATGCATGTTTTTGAATCTTTAAGCTTTGGTCTGGGATGGCCATTAAATTTTTAAAAATTTATTATTGAATGTACTTTAAAACAGTATAAAAATAAAACAAATTCAAAAGATACTACTTCATCGAAACCTTTTCTTCTTCTCACTCTCTGTTCATTTCTATTCTCATAAACATAGTTTGAATATATATTATAATCATATCAGTTGCAATTTTATTTTTAGCTTTATTCACTTTTCTTTATAAAAATACTCTCATGTTTCTACAGAGACATGACATTTATTAATTTAATGGCTACAAAGTACAACAAGATATTGATATAATTTACTTAAATCTTTCTCCTGTGTTCACGTTTCTAGTGTTTCAAGGTTGTGAATAACACGCCTACATATAGTTTTCTTCTCTTTTTGAATGATCTTTCTGGATTCATTACCTTGAGTGGGATTACTGAACTAAGGGAATGAAAAGGTGACTGAACTACCTTAAAAAAATGTTTCTACCAAGTGCCTCTCAATGCTTCCTAACATTAGAATTTATTATTTCTCCCTCCCTTTTGCTACTTCCATTAGGTAAAGTGACACGTCCATCTTTACCTCCGCACATCTCTGATTAACAGCAAACCTGACTATTTGTAATATGTATTTATGATTTATGTCTCATGTGTTATACGAACCAATTTCCATAAGGACCTTTGGAGGCAAAATACTAGCAGGGAGAATTTTAAAAAGAAATGATTTTTGTGTGGTGGATTAAAAGATAGCTGCAAATACTCTGACACGTCGTCAACTGAGTCCTTCAGCTGGGTGCAGCTGGAACGAAGCTTTGTCAGTTTCAGGCCTGGCCTCAAAGCAGAGCAGCAAGTCTCACCTTGGAGTCCTGAGCCTGCTGGACAGAATGTGTTAAGAGGCCCTAGGCTGCATGGGGTGGGAGATGGGCTCTGCTGAGCTCAGATTTCCAGCTGTTCTTGCCAATGGGCCAGTCATGTTAGTCTTGGATCCACGAGACATGTTCAGCCTCCAGCTGAAATCCACCAAGAGACCCCAGTCCCAGTGACAAGGAGCAGAAGCACTGTCTAAATTCTTGCCCCACAACATGGCGAGATAATAATAAAATGGTGGTTGTTTTAAACCGCTAAGTTTTGGGGTAGTTTGCTATCAAAGAAAAATGAGCTAGCAAAATTAACCAGTTGTCTGACTTGGACCATAGAATTAAGATTAAAAAATGGATAACTACGTGGAATGGAGAGCAGACCCCAAAATGAGATCCCAGGTTGTGCTACAACCAGTGTTTAACTTTGTCTCTGTCCAGTTCTGGAATTAAATGTGAATGATTCATTCACTCTCTAGTGTGAGAGTTTTTGAAATAGAAATGTCAAAATAGATTCCGTACATACAGGTCCTAAAGCTTAAAGTCAATACCAGTGAAATGTAATAATAATGAAGGAACTGGGGAACAAAGAACAATGGGTTTATTACCAAGGAAAACTCTGGATTAAGGCACACTTCTATGAGAGTAGAATTTTAAAGTGGTTTATCTCCTTTGTATAGAATTGAGAGCAAGTCTTAATAAAATAGATGCTTTAATTATTTTTTTAAAACCAAGAATGTTTCATTTGATACACAACGATAATTTGTAGTTGATCATCAGTTCATTTTCCTCCATGCATGGGGTGGTATGGTGAGGTGAAACTATAACAGAAATTGGAATCTATGATCTAAGTCCCTCCATTCTCCCCTTTCTCCCCCATAGGGAGAGTTTCTACTGGGGAGATTAAGCTCAGAAAGATGGTTCTCTGAGATTCCTCTTAGGAATAAAGAGGCGGCAGAAGAAAGGGAGCTAGAGAAGGACTAGACGGTTCTGATGATTTCGGAATCCCATGGTCTGCATACCTCCATCATGTATTTTATTCTCCCTTGTTCCTAAGTCAATGTCTTCACAACCATGAAAATTCCTAAAGGACAGTAGTCAGGATTTATTCCTTTTTTTTTTTTTTAAGATTTTTTATTGGGGAATTGGGGGGATGGGAACATTGCTGGGAATTGGGGGAAGGGGAACAGACAAGTTTCTCTCTTTTTTGTTCTTCAGTCTAGTTGTGGAGGACGTTGCTTCACTGGCCCAAGTTGGCACCATCATTGCGCTCTTCCCAGGCGAGGCAGATCAGTCGCCGGCTTCTGGACGGGCGCTCACTGCGGCTGCTGGCCGCTCAGGCTGGCTGCTGGCTACATACGGTAGCCCATGGCAACCCACTGCCACAGGGGCTGCAGCCTACGCCGTCGCCGGTGACTCAAGGGCAGCCCAGCTCCAGGTCGAGCTGTTGTTCAACGTCTTAGCTGTGGAGGGCTGTGTCACTGGCCCTCATATGTGGGATCCGAACTGGGGCCCTCTGCCGTCCCAAGCCAGCTCTTAACCATCGCGCCACTCGGCCGGCCCCCAGGACTTATTCTTCATGTCTGTTCATCACACCCTTCCTGCCCAAACCTCTGTTGGACTAACTTATAAGTTATATTCCTCAGTCTAGGGGTAACTTATTATATAGCTTGTCATTGAAGAGTAAGTGTCTTAAAATAGTTTTTATTAAGAAAAAAATTGGGGCCGGCCGAGTGGCGCGATGGTTAAGAACTGGCTTGGGATGCCAGAGGGCCCCGGTTCGGATCCCACATATGAGGGCCAGTGACACTGCCCTCTACAGCTAAGATGCTGAACAACGGCTCAACCTGGAGCTGGGCTGCTGTGAGTCGCCGGCGACGGCGTGGGCTGCAGTCCCTGTGGCAGTGGGTTGCCATGGGCTACCGTGTGTAGCCAGCAGCCAGCGTGAGCGGCCAGCAGCCGCAGTGAGCGGCCGTCCAGAAGCCGGCGACTGATCTGCCTCGCCAGAGAAGAGCGCAATGATGGTGCCAACTTGGGCCAGTGAAGCAACGTCCTCCACAACTAGACTGAAGAACAAAACGACAGCAACTTGTCTGTCCCCCTTCCCCCAATTCCCCAGCACTGTTCCCATCCCCCCCAATTCACCAATAAAAATCTTTAAAAAAAAAAAAAAGAAAGAAAAAAATTATTAAATAGATTTATATGAAGTCTATAAGGGACCATGGTACCATGCCACATAATACTATAAAATATACTATAAATTTTGTAACGAGGAAATGTATTACAGAGTGAAATAGGTGCCTCCGCTTCTTAACAAACCAAGCAAATTCTTTCCTCTCTCTTGTCTTTTCACCAATGCCTCTCTACTCAGAAGACTATACCCAGCTGCCTTCAAAAAGGTTCTGTTGTTTGTAGGAAGCAAGCGTCTTCCTTGTTTTCATTCCCCTATTTTCATTCTTGTTTGTTATATGTTGTTCCTGTCTGGCTTTCACTTTTGGTTAGATGATTCCTCCAAGGGGCAGTTTTCTTTTATACTGAAATTCATTATCATCCTGGTTTTTACCTAATCCTTGGGACACAGTTTAATTTTTTAGTAAAATAGCACTTTCCCAATTTTGGTGGTACTTTTGTAAAGGCACAGTAGGGATGGAAGTAATTGCAGTCTGAGCACATAATATCTGATGCCTCCAATCACACAGGCCTCTGTGTTCGTGTCTCTGTGCCTGTGTGTGCTTGTGTTTCAGAGCTATGTGACTGTAGAGAATTAGGGTTAATATATAATAAAGGCCACAGGAATGAGCTGTGTAAATGACAAAACTAAAATGTATAGATGCCATACAGCAGTGACGAAATGGGTAACAAATAATAGAGGTAAATAAACTCAGAATATTTGTTCTGCTTATAGAAGAACATTACAAAAACCCATCACTCCATCCCTAAATCTAACTGCTAATAATATTTATCATATTTCTTTCAAGGAATTTTATATTCATATACCTATGCCTATAAATTATGTTTAACATCCTTATCGATTTCCCTAATATGGGACAATAAGGTTGCCTTCAACTTTTTGTTGTAAATAAACTTGTCAAGAACATCTTTGTGTATGAACTCTCTGTTCAAATTTTGGTTTGTTTCCTTAGAATCAATCCTAAAAATAGTAATTACTGGATCAGAAGGCAAAATCATTTGTAGGATTTTATTTTCCAGAAGGGCTGTTCAAATCTCTACTCCCACCGGATATTGAGAAACAGGTTTTTTAATTAATGAAGGGTTGCAAATGAACATAATGGGCAAAATGCTCTAGATACAAATTGCCCGAGCCAAAGATGGCTGATAATCAGCAAATGTGTAAAGCAATTATCAACAGAGCAAGACTGCTAATATTTTAATTCACTTAAACCTACAATTGTCCTGGGCACCAACTCTCCAGGCTCTTTGACTTCCTTTCTTTATGACAAAAATGATTTTTTAAATCCAACAAAGGGTAAAGAGAAAGAACCACGTTACCTGTCAACGCTGAGAGCGCAGAGATTGAGGACGGTGATCCCCACCGAGGACTTCTGCAAAAATGGGAACAGCTTGCAAAGAAATACGCCAAAATCATTGTGCTCAAAAGGCCAGCGCCTAGCCAGCAGCTGAAAAAAAGGAGACACCATGGTGAGAAATAGCAGAGCTGGCATGGAATACATGGATACGTATTTCTAATTATCTTCCAAACTTCTAAATTTTATTATCTTCTAAATTTTTTATAATTTAAACTTCTAAATTTTTTATAATTTAAAATCTCAGCAATCTGGAGAGATATGGAAAATGATCAATACATATAATAACAGAAGAGACAAACCTTTGATCTTATATAAAGTAGCCATATTGCCTACTTTTCAAAAAGTAGCAAAAGTGTGGGGTTTGGGCGACAGAGAAGTAGGCACTCATTGCTTATCAATTCTTGCTAAACCATGAGTAAAGAAAGTCATTTTTAACCAGTGGCATTGGAAGATTATAACATCTCCTGGCAAGCAGCCAAAGTTCTGAATGCAAGGTTATGTGTCTGGAGAATCCTGGGAAAAAGTATGTACTGAGTTTAGGATATACTGGCTTTGTCAGCTGGTTAACACCTAAAGCCATCTTGAACTTACCTTTTCCTCTGTGCTTAAGGGGCTGATTCTGCTTCAGGAAGTGTGTCACCAGTGACCTTTATTTAGGCTCAAACTTCCCTTTGTCATACAGAAAAATGTGGTTACTGTGATCTGTTTGTAGCTTTTGAGGAAAACCTATTCTTCGATGTTGACAATTCAGTCTTTGTTGATAGGAAAGGATAGACGCCCTCTAGTGGCTGTGGTAAGTAGCAAGAACATAAAGTCTGTGAGTCGCAGATATTTTTATCTCATTAGGTATTCTACTAGGAGCAGAATAGTTCTGTTACTTAGAACGGGGAAGGACGTCTCTGCTGAATATATGATGCCTTTTCAAGAGTAAAAGTGGTATTGATTTCCTTTCTCAGTTTTGCTTAGTGACTCAGAATTTAAACGTATTCCATTCAGTAGGAAACGCTATCCAACTAACTAGACAAACGCCTTTTTTTTCTTTCTTTTTTTTCCAAGGTGCCTATTGCCACAGCAATTCTCAGTTGAGCTTTGAATTTCTGTTCTACCATTTCTAAAAGATTATGTGAGGTTTCATTCCACGATTAATCTGGTCATTAACGTAAGTCTATTGAAAGAGGGTGAGAAGCCAGTACCCCATAATACAAAGTCAGAGCCTACGCATTTTGGGAAGTTAGTAACATAAGCCTCGCTATTTTTATGGCCAAGACCCTGTATGATTTAAATTCAGAAGCTCTCTTTAGTTTTCAAGAGTATTTCCCTTTCTTCTGAATAGTTTTCTAAAAGGACGCTTTCCCTCAATCCAGTCCTGCCTCGGGCCTCCCCTTCCTCTTGCTCTAACCAGTCTTGGTTGGTGTCTTCTTGGAATTTCCACATAAACTTTTGTCCAAGGACAGATGGTGGGTTTTTCACAAAAATGTTTCCCTTAACTCTGACAGTTTTCATGAAGCTGACAAACAATTATTACCCTTGCTGATTGCTGGTTATTAATGCTTGGTGCAAGTAGAGACGTAAAACACTATTTCTGGGATGAATCACCCAGTCCCCTAAAGAAAAGAAAACCTGAAAATTACTTTTTATAGAATGGGAGTTTAGTATTTTGTCCCAGAACTATAATTCTCCACTAAAGACAACAGAGATATAATTAAAATGTGTAGGGGGTTGTTATAGGATATGCTTCAGAATAGTTGAACTGTTACGGTTGGTTCCCTCCCAGAGACAGAGGATCCTAAAATCCATGGGGATGGATTTCACAATTCACACATCCAACAATGAGGGGAAAAAAAAGAAAAGGATATTGCTTGCTTAACAAGGGAGACTCCAAAATTCTCTGAAAGTTTGACAAGTGCTAAGAAAAAATGGTCCCGAAAAATCCACAACTGAGCACGTATTGTTTCAGGCTCTTCCAATCTCAATGGATTTTTTTTTTTCATGCTTGCTTAAAATTTTAACTAGGGTTAGGTGTAACGGAAGGACTGAAGGGAAGGTTATTATGGTATTGGAGGGCACCAAAAAGATCATAGAATTATCTTGCTTTGACACAAATACATGTTTTCTTATCTTTGTTGTTATTTTTCTTTCCCCCAGGAGTGAGCACTGATTCTTGTTGGGAATTATAGACAAAGGGGAATGAGAGAAGTCATTGGAGGAAATATTTAGGTAGAATCACAGTGTACACTTCCGTAACTCATATATACTTACTTCATTCTAACAGATGTGTGGATAGTAACTGTCTCAACGCAGTCAGCGAAATTCAGCCCCTCCCAGGAGGCAATTGCTTCCCTTTTGTGTTAAAGGTGGCTTCTTCCAGGAAGCCCTCATTAACTCCCCGATCTCAAGTAGGACCTGCTTATTAATCTCTTTCATGGACACAATGCTGAAGTAAACTTACATTTAAAGTCTCCTTTCAACTCACTCTATTTTAGCACTAAAACACACACAAAAGGAAGGGGGCATTAAAGAGGCCTAGAGTGTAGCTCACCCATTTTTCTTTTATGGAAAGAGGCATTTTTGAACTTCTGAAAGACTGCTGGCATGCATCCCTTTTTTATAGGCTAGCATTTAAAATTGGAAATACAATATTTAAAATGGTAAAAATAAGCTGTATAAAAAAAGTAATGAAAAATAAGTCTCCCTTCCAACCAAGGCCCCTAAACTTCCTGCCCAAAGGCAACTACTATTAATTGTTAATTGTGTTTTCTTCCAGAAAACTTCCTATGTGCAGAAAAACATATGCCTTTCAAAAAAAAAGGCAATTGAAACCAAATGGAAATAATACCTATTAACGGTCTTTTATGATCTTTTTTTTTCCTAGAGTACTTTTCTGGAAAGCAGTTCTATTGCATAATGGAAAGGTTTTGATTTTTGAAAGCACATTGATGAAATAATTTAGGCTAGCATAGAAAAAGATAAGTAACTGCTTAGGGCAGCAGTTCTCAACCTGTGGGTCACGACCTCTTTGGGGGTCGAATGACCCTTTCACAGGGGTCGCCTAAGACCATCGGAAAACAAAAATATATTTACATTACGATTCATAACAGAAGCAAAATTACAGTTATAGAGTAGCAACGAAAATAATTTTATGGTTGGGGGTCATCACAACATGAGGAACTGTATTAAGGGATCACGACATTAGGAAGGTTGAGAACCGCTGGCTTAGGAGAAATCTAGACCATGGCAAAATAAGTCCGTAGATTTCACTAATGTTAGTAAGCTACTATGAATTCAATGAAAGAAAAACCAAACTAGTCTGACAAACTAACAAGTTGGATTGGCTCCCAGGGTAAATCTGACACCTTGGAGCAGCCGTAGCTTATTTTTGCCATAAAAGGGCCTGTGCTATTATGTAACCCTCATATTTATAATTTCCAAGCACATTACACAGTACCTAGCACATAGTAGGTGTTGAATGAATGATTCCAAATCATTAATTCAGGATATTTTCATATTTTGAGATTAGCTATTTTTCCCTGAAAACACATTCATCTTATAATTTACTTTCGTTTTAAAAGTTGTTTCTCAGTATCTCAAAGTAGTGTTTCTACTCTCAATGTTGAAAGAAGCAATGTACCTACCAACTAGCCGTTTGAGGAAGTGGGAGAATACTGTTCTGTTAAGACCCAGGTTGAAGAGGTGCTGTCACAAACTCTTTGCTTGGCGACCTCTCACTTTGGGCAGGGCTGGGGTTGCTCAGCCTGGTAAGGGCTGCAGAGCAGGCACTTGGAGGTGATGCAAAACCTGTGGCCTAAATGCACACGTGCCCTCGCCTCTTCAAGGGTACCACAGAGCAATCACTGAGGCAGCAGAAGGCAGCCTGCTGAGCTCAGAGTTCACTGAAGGGCGCTCGCCTTGGTTCTCGCCTAGAGGATTTTTCTACAGTTGAAACAAGTCCCCAATCATCACAGAAAACTAAGACACTGCGAACTGGAGCAAATTACTGTAGCAATCCTGTATTTGTGTGGCTGGTTTGGATTGTGTCAAAATCAACATCCCAAAATTGACAGGCTGCATCTTTTAACATGTCAAAACAGATTTACCTACAGACTTGTGCCACATGATACACTGATAAGCACCCTAGTTTCAGAATGATTAGATCCCAAAGCAGGATGTCCGTCCACTACTATATTTAGTACAAAGCAGTATCTACTCGGTTGGGATCTTTTAGGTATGTGCCATGTACCTGTTTATCTCAGTTTTCTGGAACACACTCGACAACCAGAAAGTACGCAAAAATGTAAGGAGCCAAATGGTTGATGTGGAATTTACATCCTAAAGCCCATGTGCTTGACTCATGGGCAAACTGCCCGAGTCTTCACTGCAGGTCGATTTATTGTTACTTTGCACCCAATGCTATAAAAGTTAGCTTTTATTGTTCTTTGGTCCATTGCACATCCAAAGCTGCTCATTATTGAGAACCCTCTGGAGTGATAGTTCTCCGTCTTGATTGTACATTAGAATGATTTAGGGAGCTTTTAAAAGTCCCAGTGCTCAGGCCACCCCCTAGGCGAGTGCTTCTGATGTTTGCCCCTGAGGGGACACTTGGCAATATTTAGAGACATTTTTGGTTATTGCAACTGAGTGGGGCGGACTAACATCTAGCAGATAGAGGCCAGGGATGCTGTTAAACATCTTACAATGCACAGGACAACCCCCCGCCCACCCCCGAACAATAATTATCCAGCCAAAAATGTCAATAGTGCTGAGGTTGAAGACCACGTCACATGCCAATTAAATCAGAATCTTTGGGGTTGGGACACCAGCCTCAGTCATTTTTAAAGCTCCCAGGTGACTCCCATGGCTGAGGATCATTGCTTTTGTGCAGTGGTTCTCAAGCTCTGGCATCATCAGAATCATCTAGAAGGCCCCTTAAGCCAGATTGCTCAGCCCCACCCCCAGAGCTCCTGGTTCAGTGGGTCTGAGATGGAGCCTGAGAATCTGCATTTCTAACTAGTTCCCAGGTGATGCTGATGTTGTTGGTCCTCTACCCACACTTTGAGAAACACTGCTCTAGAGATACCATGATGGGGAAAAAA